GCCTTCATCACCTCCAGGCTCGACTATGCAAACGCCCTGCTTGTCGGCCTTCCCAACTCCTCCCTCCACAGGCTGCAGATAATCCAGAACTCTGCAGCCCGTGTCCTCTCCCGCACCAAACTCCGTGACCCCATTTCCCCCATTCTCGCCCAGCTCCATTGGCTCTCTATCCTTCAGAGGATCCAGTTCAAAATCCTGGTCCTCACCTACAAGGCCCTCAATGGTCTCGCCCCACCCTCTCTCTGTGACCTCCTAACCCCCTACCAACCTGCCTGCTTCCTCCGCTCAGCAGGCTCTGGCCTGCTCCACGTCCCCCAACCCACCCGCCTCACCACTGGCGGGAGAGCCTTCAGCCACTCTGCCCCCAATCTCTGGAACTCCATTTCCCAATCACTCCAACTCGCCCCCTTCTTAGCCTCTTTCAAGTCCCACCTCAAAACCCTCCTCTTCGACCATGCCATTGGTCACCCCCTTCCCCTCCCTTCCCTTCTCCCCCCTGACCCCAGTTCAGGTCTGAAATGATGTACATTGTCCAGCGCCTTGGGATGTCCTCCCAACGTGAGAGGCGCTATACAAATGTAATCTTGTTGTTGTTGTTATTGTATGGATTCAAGCCCCATGTCAGGACTTTTAACTCACAGTCTTGGTTGATATTCCAATGCAAAGCTAAGAGTGTGCCTCATTGTCGGAGGTGCCATCAGTTGGAAGAGACTTTAACTAAGGAACTGTCTGGCTGTTCAGATGGACTTTAAAGATCCCATGGCACTATTCGAAAAGGAGAAGGGTGTTCTAATCAATGATGCAAGATAAAATCAGTAACTCACTTCATGGCTGTTCGTGGGACATTACTGCGAGCAAATTGCCTGCTGTGTTTGCCTACAAAATACAGTCAATGCCCTTCGCAGTGAATCCTGTGAAGCACTTCCTACTTATGTGAAAGCTGCAATATCAATTGCAAGGAATATTATTCTAAGTTTGCCATGTACAACCAGAATATGCCGAGTAGCAAACATAACCTTCAGGTCACCCTGGAGTCTCGTAATGGTCCAGTGTTGCCTGCAATTGAGTCAATGGCCCTGAACATTACTCCTCCAAAGGATTCTATGTGGGTTATTTTATTGCTTTCTTGGTATCAGCTACAATAGAACTAGGATGTCAGATTATGATCAAAGTCTCTAAATAAATGTTTTTTTTGTGCTTCAAATTACTTAACAAACTCTGGATGGTTCCATAATTTAAGCTCCAGCTTGTCATTTTACTGACTCAAAGGTTTGTGAATATCACCTGTATATTAATATGCAAGGGAATATCTCCAAACAAACCTTAAATACAAAAACTATTTTAAAAAACACAGATGTAAAAAGTACCTTCGATAATTAGTAGGTACCTTTTTAAAAAAAAGTTAAACTATACTTACCAGCAAAGCTGTTGCTGGACAAATTCCAGGAAGCATACTTCATAGATTCAGGAGATAGGAGCATTTGGTTCACCCAGTTTCTGCCTGATTTTGAAAGTCGTGATGTGGTCTTGCAGTTTCCAAAAGTATTTTGGCAAATGCAAACCCACAGGAATGTTTCAATTAAGGCACACCTAATATAAGAGACCTAATATTCGATACTGGTTTTTAAAGTACAAATGCAACTTGTGGCACCAAACAGTGGAGAGGTGCTGCATGCTTCTTCTAACAGGTCTGCTGGTTCAGCTCATATCACTGCTGTTCAATGCAGAAGACATTTGCACTTATTGAAAGTAAGTTTTCTGCTGGTAAATCTTTATTCGAAGAACAGAATTTGCTGATGATGGATGCATTTCTTCTCCATCTCCAGTCCCATTTCTCAAAAAAACAAATACATCCTTGGTAATAAAGAGAACCAATTTGAAGAGAAAATGTTGGGAAAATAAAAGCACTTTTCTGTATCAATTAAGGACTGTATGAAAGATAATGAGAATTTACATAAAGATAAATCTACCTAAAAAAAAGGTGAATAACATCAATTCAATTGCGTCCAAAAAGATACGCTATTTGCACTAATCAGTGAAGAAAAAATAGAGAGTGTAGGACTCCACATTTATTTCGGAGCATCTATATATCACACTTGCCACATTTGAGCACTAGAGCCCCATTGTTTCAGCTTCTGGCACTCCCTTACTAAGCTTTCCATAACCAGAAGGAAGATATGAAGAGGATGAATGGAGTCATAATAATACTACTTGCATTTGATATAGCACCTTATCACATCTTCGACACATCTCAAAGCGCTTCTCAAAGGTATGCCTTAATTAAAACATTCCTGTGGATTTGCATTTGGCAGTTCAAAGTACTTTTGGAAACTGCAAGACCACATCACGACTTTCAAAATCAGGCAGAAACTGGGTGAACCAAATGCTCCTAACCACAATGCTCTCCTGAATCTATGAAGTATGCTTCCTGGAATTTGTCCAGCAGCAGCTTTACTGGTACAGATAGTTTACTGTAATTTTGACTGTACATTTTGTGGGGAAAATGTGGAAGCTGATTGCGCACAGCAATGTGCCACAATCAATCATGGATTGAGTGACCAAATTATTATTTTTGTTGTTGTCGGTAAAATAATCAACCAGAGATTTCACATTGAGAGGATGTCCCAAGGTGCTGGACAGTCAGAGTTTCAGACCTGAGCTGGGGATCGGGATCGGGGAGGGTGGAGGGCAAGGGGGGAAGGAGGGTGATCGAAAGTACGGTTGAAGAGGAGTGTCTTAAGGTGGGACATGAAAGCAGGCTGGAGCCCGCTGAGCGGAGGGAGCGAGCAGGATGGAAGGAGGTTAGGAGGTCGCGGAGGTAGGGGGGAGCAAGACCATGAAGGGCTTTGAAGGTGAGGATCAGGATCTTGAACTGTATCCTCTGTGTAATGGGAAACCAGTGGAGTTGGGCGAAGATGGGGGTTATAGCGGCACGGAGCCTGGTGAGGGAGAGGACAGGGCTGCAGTAGTTAGAAAATGAAGTCTGCAATTTAACAAATGCTATCTGGCAGCTCCCAGACTCAATGGCATTCTTATTACTCCACCCTGACTAATACACACCCAACATATCCTGATCATCCACATCATTCAAAATCGGGGAATCCCAAAGGAGGAATCCTTACTGCAACCCGTACAATAGATTGAGCAAATTTTTAGCCTAAACCAAACCCCCACTCCCCCCACACACAAAATACAAACAGCAGCAAAATCCTGTACAGAGGGAACATTTTTATTTTGGCACAGGATTATGCTAATGTTACATGTAGGAAACATTTATGTTACGCCCTAGAAAAACATGTATACCATGTAGAATTTGAGATATGCTTTATTTCATGTCGCTGAGTACATTTTTCTGCCTGTTCAGGTGGACATTAAAGATCCCATGGCACTTTTTGAAAAAGAGAGTTTTTACCCCATGTCCTAACCAACAATCCCTGAGATAAAATTGTTCATTCATTTGTGCTTGTAGGACATTGTTGTCTGCAAATTGGCTGCTGAATTCGCCTACAAAATTCACATTTTGTTTCGCCCACAAAATATACAGTCAATTCACTTTACAGTATATTCTGTGAAGCGCTTTGAGACGTCTCGAAGACGTGATAATGGGCTATATCAAATGCAAGGTTTATTATTATTATTCACTACACTCAGCGCAAGAGTTCCAAAATGCCGTCCGTTATATAAATGCAAGTTGTTATTGTTTACACTATATCCTGCAAAGCACTTTGAAATGTTCATTGGTGAGTTTCTTTTTATTATTAAGCAAGAATATATATCTACATCCTCACCCATATTCATCCAGTGCATAAGCACAACTTAATGCTGTGATTTATTTAAACACCTATACAGTACATTGGTGAGTGCAGGTATGCACCACCCACTGACTGACATGTACAGCTATACACACTGCTGATTGTGGGAGCAAGAACACAGACTCTTCCAACACACACACGGACACACACACACACATAAATACACACAGACAGACCCAAACAGACAGACAGACACAGCCAGACAGACACACACCAGATAGGCAAACACACACACACACAAAAGCAGACAGACACACACACAGAGGCAGACACACACACACACACAGAGGCAGACACACACACACACACACACACACACGCATACACACACATAGGCAGACACACACACACACACGCATACACACACATAGGCAGACACACACACACACATAGACAGACAGATACACACACAGACAGACACACACACACATACACAGGCAGACAGACACACACACATAGACAGACTCACACACACACATAGACAGACAGACACACACAGAGACAGACACACACACACACACACAGACAGACACACACAGACAGACAGACACACACACAGACAGACAGACACACACACACACACAGACAGACAGACAGACAAACCAAGCTGACATCCCAGTCCCAGCCCGGGTGCCCTGATGAAGAGGCAGGGCGGGCAGGGCAGGGCGGGCAGGCAGGCAGGGCAGGGAGGGCAGGGCAGGGAGGGCAGGGCAGGGCGGGCAGGCAGGCAGGGCAGGGCAGGCAGGCAGGCAGGGCAGGGCAGGGCAGGGCAGGGCGGGCAGGCAGGGCGGGCAGGCAGGGCAGGCGGGCAGGCAGGCAGGGCAGGGCAGGGCAGGGCAGGCCGGGCAGGGCAGGCAGGGCAGGGCAGGCAGGGCAGGGCAGGGAGGCAGGGCAGGGGCAGGGCAGGGCAGGGCAGGGCAGGGCAGGGGAGGGCAGGGCAGGGCAGGGGAGGGCAGGGCAGGGGAGGGCAGGGCAGGCAGGGCAGGGCGGGCAGGCAGGGCAAGGCAGGGCGGGCAGGGCAGGGGAGGCAGGCAGGGCGGGCAGGGCAGGGCAGGGGAGGGCAGGGCAGGGCAGGGCGGGCAGGCAGGGCAGGGCGGGCAGGGCAGGGCAGGCGGGCAGGCAGGGCGGGCAGGGCAGGCAGGGCGGGCAGGGCAGGCAGGGCAGGGCAGGCAGGGCAGGGCAGGCAGGCAGGGCAGGGCGGGCAGGGCAGGGGAGGATTGCCTGTGGTGACAGGTTGCTGCAGTTGCAGTGTTGAGACCTGACACTGCGCTTGTGCGGGGCGAGCGGACAGGAAGATGGCGGAGCTGCTCACGGCATCACCGAGACGCACAGGTAAGAAGCGGAGGCACAGCCCGAGCCCTCACCTGCACCGAGCGACCGACCGACCGACTCTCAGCTCCGGGGCCGCCGCTCCATCCCCTTTGGCTGCTGCAGCTTCTGTAGTCTTTGCCGACTGTCGGTTCCCTTTAATGGGGTGTGAAGGGGACACGTCGAGCTCCAGTGGCTGTGTGTGGGGGGTGTGTGTGTGTGGGGGGGGGGGGTGTGTGTGGGGTGTGGGGGGGGTGTGTGTGTGTGGGGGGGGGTGTGGGGGGGGTGGGGGGTGTGTGTGGGGGGGGTGGGGGGTGTGTGTGGGGGATGTGTGTGGGGGGATGTGTGTGTGGGGGGTGTGGGGGGGTGTTGTGTGGGGGTGGGGTGGGGTGTGTGTGTGGCGGGTGTGTGTGGCGGGTGTGTGTGGGGGGTGTGTGTGGATGTTGTGTGGGGGTGGGGTGGGGTGTGTGTGGGGTGTGTGTGGGGGGTGTGTGTGGATGTTGTGTGGGGTGGGGTGGGGTGTGTGTGGGGTGTGTGTGTGTGGGGGGGTGTGGGGTGTGTGTGTGTGGGGGGGGTGTGTGTGTGGGGTGTGTGTGTGGGGGGGGGGTGTGGGGTGTGTGTGTGGGGGGGTGTGTGTGTGGGGTGTGTGTGTGTGGGGGGGGTGTGGGGGTGTGTGGGGGGTGTGTGGGGTGTGTGTGTGTGTGGGGGTGGGGTGTGAGGGGGTGTGTGTGTGTGGGGGGTGTGGGGGTGTGGGGGGATTAACACACAATTAAACAAGGAATTTGTTGGTGGTGTTTATTTCTGTGTATTGACATTTACGTGTTTATTGCCCGTGTTTATTGCCAGACAATAAGTACATGGAGCAGGAGGCGGGTTTGACTTGGCTTGTGCTTGGCTTGATTTGGTGTGGCTTGGTTTGGTTTGGTGTGGTTTGGTGTGGCTTGGTTTGGTTTGGTGTGGTTTGGTGTGGCTTGGTTTGGTGTGGTTTGGTGTGGTGTGGTTTGGTGTGGCTTGGTTTGGTGTGGTGTGGTTTGACTTGATGTGGTTTGGGGGAGTCCGGAGGTCACAGAGCAGAGACGTTTCACAAGTTTCCCAGGATGTTTGCAATCCTGTCCCCTCTGGGTGTGGATGGCCACCACTCCCTGTGTAGCCTCATTTGCAAATGTCCTTCTGTTTTTTTTACGGTAAGTTTGGCTAAATTTTTCTCTCTCTCTCTTTCTCCTTTAATTTCACCCGCGCTGTTTGTTGCTCGTCGTGTCTGTCCCCTCGCAGTGCCGGGGGGGGGGTGTTATTTTTTTATTTGGATTGTGTCTATATGTGTGTGTGTGTGTGTGTGTGTCTGTGTGTGTTAGTGCGTGTGTACGTACATGTGTGTGTGTGTATATATGTATGCGTGCGTGTGTATGTGTGTGTATATACGTGTGTATATGTATGTGTATGTGTGTGTATATGTATGTATGTGTGCATGTATGTGTGTGTATATGTATGTATGTGTACATGTATGTGTGTGTATATGTATGTATGTGTGCATGTATGTGTGTGTATATGTATGTATGTGTACAAGTATGTGTGTGTGTGTATATATACATATGGCAGAATCTCACCTGTTTACTGCAGGGAAAAGTGACATGTCCTTGAATTGGCTGAGCTCAGGTCTTGGGTCCGTAGCTCGCGTAGGTTTGGTGTTTCTGTGCTATTAAAGGCAGTGCCAAATGGGAGCTGTTCAAAAGCACATCCCTACGTGACTTGGGTGCGAATGTGAAATGCCCTTTTCTTTGGAAATTGTTTAACACACCAGTACAGCTGAGATTGAGATCGCTCTACACTGCAACATAGCAACGGCAGATTCCGATTGCTTTTGTCTCTACTCCCGGGAAAGGTATTGGTTAAATGTTTTTTTGCACGATTGCTTTTTTTTTTCTTTCGGCTTTCCCTTCATCTCTAACAGACAGGGGGGAAATACTCCTCTAGATGGAAAATGAAAATGAGTCTTTGCAAATATATTATCAAATACACGCAATCAAGTCGTTGATGCCTTTTAAATCAATCAATCCTTCCCTTTGATATATAGCACCTTTCATATGGGGCGTCGGTCTTAAATTGCTTCATGGAATTTTACTGTAAAGTGTAGTGACTGTGTATTTGCAAACAAGCTCAGCAGCTGATTTGTGCACAGCAGTGTCAGACAAACAGACATGAACTGAATGACCTATTTGAGGAATTGTTGGCCAGGACACTGGGAGAAACTTTCTTTCGAACAGTGCCATGGGATCTTTAATGTACACCTGAATAGGCAAACAAGACCTCAGTTTTAACAGCTCATCCAAAGGGTGGCACCTACAAAACCAAAGCACACTCCAGCTTTGCACTGAAGTGTCAGCCTAGACCTAGTTTAAAGTCCTGACATGGGGCCTGAACCCACCACCATTTGATTGAGAAGCAAGATGCAGAGGCAAGAGTACCACCGACTGAGTCAAGCTGCCACTTTGTACCAACCCATAATGGGTGATTTCAACCTCCACCTTAATTCCCCTTGCACCACCTCCTCGGATTTCACTGCCCTCCTCCTCCCTAAACCTCACCCTCCACATCAACTTGCTGACCCACAACCGTGTCCCCCCCTCGACCTCGTCATCACACATGGCCTTGACATTTCCGACCTTTCTTGATGGACAAGGGCATCTTGGACCACTTCCTCAACTCCCTCTCCTCCCGCATCTCCTTCCCCTCTTCCAAGGCCTCCACCATTTTTTTGCGCCCCTGGAAAAAGCTTCTCCCTGAGTCCTTCACAAATGCCCTCTCTTTCTCGAACCTCTCTCCCTCTGGCCATCCAACCTCAGCGATCCTGATGCAGCTGTCAAGCTGCTGAATGATCGTCTCTCCACAACATTCAATTCCCTGTCTACCCTGAAATCCAGGGCTGTTTCCAAACCCACCCGCTCCCGCTGATATGACAGTCATCTCCGCTCACTTAAAACCCAAATTGGATGCTCGAGCTCAGATGACAGAAATCCGGCCTCACGATTCACTGCCAGCTGTGGCTTGGGCACCTCCGCACCTACCGCCTCTCCCTTTCACAGGCCAAAACTGGCTTTTATTCCAGTCATCCTGGAGGCCAAAAACAACCCAAAGATACTGTTTTTCACCATCCATTACCTCCTCCATGCACCCCCTCTAGATCCCTCTATCCTCACATCAAATGCCAAGTGCGAAGAGGTCCTAGATTTTTCTCTCCGAAGATTGAAAACATCCACTTGGCTACATCGTCCTCCCCCATGTCCTCTTCCACCCCACCTACACTATCCATACCACCTTCTCCCTCTACCATGGCTCCTGACGCTCCCCCTCCTTACACTCTTTTGCCCCCATTCCTCCCTCTCAACCACAGTCATCCACACAAAGTTCACCACCCATTGCCTCGACACCCTCCCCACCCAGCTGCTGGTCACTCAATTCCCCCTTCTCTCCCCACTGCTGATCAACGTGGTCAACCAGTCTCTCTCCTCAGGCTCTGATCCACTCCCCCTGAAAACCACTGTTATCACACCCCTCCTCGATCCTTCTAATCTCTCATGCTACCATCCCCTCTCCAACCTATTCATCCTTGCTAAATTCCTGGAACGCATTGTTGCAGGTCACCTTCGGTCACACCTCTCCCATCACTCCCTCCTCGAGCCCCTGCAGTTTGGTTTTCGCCCTGCCCACAGCACAGACACAGTTCTTGTCAAAGTCACAAACGAGGTCCTCTCTATCTGTGACCATGGTTCCCTCTGCCTCTTCAGTCTCCTGGATCTCTCTGACACAGTCAACCACCTTGTATGAGGATGACACACAAATCTACTTTGCCTCCTGCAGCATCGACTCCAGGTCTGCCGATGTTCTATCAGCTTGTCTAGTAGATATTAGGCCTTGGATGAGTGCAAATTTCCTGCAGGTGAATGTGGACAAGACCAAAGCCATACTCTTTGGCTTCCATTAACGTCTCCACTCCTGCAGATCTAAACTCCTAAACCTCCCTGGGCTTTCTCTCAGATCCACCGAACCAGTGCGCAATCTAGGAGTCTGGTTCGACCTCCAGCTGTCTTTCCTTTCCCACATCCAGTCCCTGACAGGACCACCTTCCTCCAGCTCTGCCACCTTACCCGCCTCCGACCGTACCTTACACCAGATGCAGCCGAAACTCTCGTGCATGCGTTTATCACCTTCCCCCTGGATTACTCAAACATACTCCTCGACGGTCTCCCCAACTCCACTATTCAAAAGATCCAACTCATTCAGAACTCTGCCGCCTGAATATTGACCCAAACCAAACTCTGTACCCACATCTCACCAGTTCTGGCCAGGCTCACTGGCTCCCCATCACTGAACGGATCAACTTCAAGATCCTCACACTCGGATTCAAATCCATTCACTCTTGGCACGTCCCTACTTCTCCGATCTCCTCACTCCCAAATCCACCACCTTGTGCCTCCGCTCGACTGGCACCGGCCTCCTGCTTGTCTCTCGCACCCTCCACCCCACCATTGGAGGTCGCATTTTCAGCCACTACGCCCCAAAACTCTGGAACACTCTCCCTCAATCCCTCCGCCTTGCCCCCCTCTCCCCTTTTTCAAGTCTTGCCTGATAACCTTACTTTTCGACCGTGCTTACGGTCATCTCCCCGCCCCATCCCCACCCCGGCTCATAGTCAGGCTCCGCTACTGTTAAGCGCTCTGAGACACTACCCTGTGTGGAGGGCGCTATATAAGTGCAAGTTGTTGTATATGTACAATAAATGTAAAGTTAGAATTCAGAATTGTCTTCAGGGTTCTTTGCTTTGGTTTACACAACTTTCAACAAGGTGTTGATTATTCATATTTGTGCAATTCTGAAAACAAACAAACAAAAGTGAGTGTAAAGGCAACTGAAGTTTAACCCTTTCTGAGAGTTGCAACAATGTTTCAGGAGTGAAGTAACTTATTTTAATCTCAAAGTGCTTTACAGCATATACTTTAAAGTGTGGCACACCTATACAATTGCAAAGC